ATATGATATTGCATCATCTAATTTTGTCATTTCAAAAGTCTCAAATAAATGTCTCATCTCACCCACAATGGAATAATATAAGTTAGGATCAGCACTGCTTTTAGTCAGTTTACAAGATAATAAAAATGAATTAATCTATAAATACCAAGCATAAGGAATTTATTTTAGTATAAAGAGTGCACAAAATCAATTTGATTATTATTCCTTCATTTCTTTTTTTCTTTTTTGATTCCAGGTGAGATATATATATGTATATATTTCTTTTGTCAATAATACATTCAAAAATGCTATAATTGCATAAAATTAACAAAGTCTCTATCTTTTGTGTACAAAAAATCTTAGTATAATTCAAATTGTGCTCCAGCATACAATAGATGAAAATATATCAAAGAAATCTTCTCATTCTTTTTGTTGGTATCTTAGGGCAATTAGTCTTGTCTATTTTTTTATTAACTTATTCATTTTGTCTCATTTTATTTTGAATATCCATCTGGCATGTATTGCTCTTTTTTCTGGTAGCAAATTTTTGGATATCTATTTTTGGTTTTTCTTCAGTAAATTCTTTATGGATTAAATAGTTGCATCCTACTCTAGATCTTACTTTGTTTTGTCATAATTTAATGGGTCTTCATCCACTTCAATAATCATTGCATAATAGTCTTTAAATTTATTCAGAGGTCTTTTATTTTTGGCTGATTTTGATTCTGGATTTAAGGTTTCAAAAATAATATGTTTCTTTATTTTTCTTTGTCTAGTTTGAGAGCTTAAAGGATTGATACAGTTCTAATTTTCTAGTAAGCTTTTAGATTCTAGATTAATAGATTATGATGGTAATCTCACGATTGTAAATTTAAGAAGAAAATTTTCTATAAATGGAGATAATTTGGAATATTTTGATGATACTTGAGATAAAATATTAGATGAAGATGAGTTGGATTTGTCACTTTTTCTCAAAGGAAATATCATGTATTCTAATGAGTTGGCTAAAAGTATATATATTCTAATCTAAGTTTTTTTTTTTTTTTTTTTTTTTTTTTCCATCATAGACTATATTTCTATTTATAATTATATTTTTTTAAGAAGATCAAATAATGTAAAGGCTTTGCTATTGGAGTCATATCCCATCAACAAACGTTTAGTAGTCTTGCTTTCTAATTTGTGTCTTTCTTGTTTTTGAATACGTAGAAAAACAAGGTAGCCAAAGGTTTATAAAAAACTTACATCTAGTTTTTTGCCACTAAATCTTTCTTTAGGAATTTTTCCAAAATTATTTATAGTTGGACTTTGAATAATAAGAAAATTGTTAGTATTAACAGCTTCACTCTACAAGTATCTTAGTAATTTGCATCCACCAATCATACTTCTTGCTTATTTTACTATGCTTTAATTTCTTCTTTTAGCTACTTTGTTTTGCTCCAACTTAAGTGCTTGAATTGGTTGTCTTTGGATGTTATGAGTATTACAATAGGTCTTAAATTATATTAACATAAATACACCTTCTTGATTTTTTTCTAAAATTTCTTATTTTTTTTCCAATTTCTTATTTTATAATTTTTTAAAATATTTAAATTTCTCAAATATATTTGATTTTGATTGCAAGAAAAATATCCAAAATTTCTTGAAATAATTATTAATACATATAGAAAATTATCTTAATCCTTATAAAGATAGTGTAGGTAAAAGTCCAACTAAATCAACATGTGATAATTCCAAAATTTTAGAGGTTGTATGAGCAATATTTTTTGGAAATCTTTTTTAGTGTTACTTCCCAACTAAAAAATTCTCACATAATGTTTATTAAGGATTTTAATCTTATTAATCCTTGTACTTTGTCTTCTCTTCACAGATGACTAAGACTCATGTAATTTAAGCATCCAAAATACTAGTGTCAAAACATTATAATTTTTTTAATTTTAGTTGAATTTAAAATAAGATTCAAGATAAAAGTCTTGTAGAATCTATTGCTTAGATTACATTTACTAGTAGCCAAAGTCTTTTTTTTTTCACATCATAGTTTGAATCTTAATAATAATTTCTAATACAAAATTTAATTATATATCTTGAATTGGTAAGACAATCAACCAAAATCAGGTTTTGTTTTAAGGTTGAAATATAGAAGACTTTTGAAAGATTCATTCTACTACATAAACTTGTGTGTAAGGTAATATTATTGATACAAATTATTTTATAACTTTTTCTTTATTTTATATGAATATTTTCTCTTGCAATTGAATTTAATTATCTTATTTTTTTTCAATCTTTAGTTATATAGCAAATAGCACCAAAATTTAAGTACCAAGGTTGTTATTTTTGGAGTCATTTAAAAAATTTGGCGAACATTTTTTTAATGTTATTTTTATCATTGCTTATTAAAATCTCAACCTTCTCTCTTTCTTCAATTGTATTGCCTTTTTAATGAATTTTAGATGAAAAAGTGTTATTCTTTACTTCTTCTTCTTGTACAAGCTAATTTTCAAGTTGTTGGCGGCAATGACAAGCTATGTGATTATAGCTCCTACATTTATAGCATTAAAATGGAATTGGAGCAATAGGCCTTTAGTATTGTGATGGACTTAGTCCTACTCATCTAGTGAAACTTCCTTGACATCCATACAACCTTCTTCTAAAATTATTAAATATTCTTCTATAAGCTCTTCTTCCTCTCCATTGCATTTGAAATAGATTGAATTGAGTGAATAGAGCTTCTTCATCTCTAGGTTCTTTGCTTTGGAGCTCCATTTAGTATACATGTGTAAAAAATTTGGATGATACTTATCAAAAATTTGGCAAGGTATTTGATATAAAATTCATTATATCATGTCTTCAAAGCTTCAAAGCAATCTATTAAATATAAGCTAAGCTAAAGTATTAATAGATAGTGGTTGTCTAAGAGCACTTAGTTGATTATTAATATCTTGAGTATTTTTTAAGTTTTCTTCTATTAATATTCTTTTTCTTAATTTCATGCTATGAAATTTGAGAGACAATAATAAAACTTGAGATGTATCACTTGACTTAAATTTATTTTGCATATTGCCCAAAAATTGGTTAGATCATCTTATTCAATAATAAATCTCACAATGTTGTTATTTATTAATAAAATTAATATTTTTAAAATTTTATTTTGTAATTGATAAAAATATGCCTCAATGTACCATGTTCTTCTAATTTAAATTAGAAAGGTTGCAGGTAGAGTCTTGGTTTCAATTAACTTCTTAATATTCTTACATCCTAATATGATCTTTGTCTCCAATCTCTATTTGTTGTAATTTGTTCATTCTTCCAACTTGTTCTCTTTTCCTAAAATACATTTGACATTTTTATAGCCATCTTGAGTTCATATAAGTCTCTCAAATAATAGGCTAGAGATATTTTTCATTCTTTATCCAACAATTAACTTATATTGTAAGTACTACTCACCAAATATATTCAAGAGCTCTTACTCTTTTAAGAACATGGCTTATCAAATGTTTTCTCAAAAGGATCAACAAGGCTCTAATATCATGAAGAAAAAATACACTCATTTATATTTTATTAGAAATAATAATTTGTAAGTTTAAGCATACATTAACACTCTACTTGAAGTGTGTATGGACATCTTTCAATATAACTAAGAAACAAAATCTTAGAGGCTAATTATAATATTATTAGTTCTAATCTTAAAAGTGTTATATAGATTGTTATGCATTTGCAGAGAACTCGTTGGTCACACGTCAAGATATAAACTACTATGTCATAATGAAACATAGAAGTTAATAAAAATATGATGAATTAGATGTTTGATCAATAAATTTGACTTCTTAAAAGTAGAAAAATTGTACAACAAGATTTAAAAGCTACTTTATATTTGAATAATAGTCTAAATATCTAATACTATCTAAAAAACTTCCTCAAACTCCTTAAGAAAGACATTATTATTTCAATATATTTCTACCTACTTCTACTTACTTTATTTAATTCTATTTATTAAAATGACTCTCAAGGATATAAATCTCAAAAAAAAAAAAAAAAAAAAAAATCCTCAATACACTCTTGTATCACTAAAAGGAACTAAAAAGTCACTCAAAGATGACATAATATTGAATTAGAATAGCTATTGCCAAAAAGAAGACTAGAAAGTCTTGAAACAAGACTAAAGACTAGAAAGGCCTTGATAATAGCGAAGAAGGCTTCACTCTTGCCTCCATATATACTCTCTAATTAAGAGCTGCGTAGCAATATTCTATAGGACCTTCCACATGTGTTGACTTTACTAGCCACATGTCTTCACTTGCAAGGCAAATTATTTATGTATGTATCACATAGTTAGATTGTTTTATAAGCTACTACATGGAATTGACTTGTTCTACAAGTTACCAATATGTGATTAACTTGTTGGCCAAGTTTCTAACCTACTAATACATCTAAAGTCGAAACCTCATCTATAAAGCTTCTAAGAAGCTTTTCTAAAATACTTTATGAAATTAATCTATATTTATCTACTTTTCTCTAATCATATAAGTAACTATTGGGATAAATGTATTTGTCTATGTCAATAACATGGACATTTATTACAAAGTGTGTACAAAGAGGGAATAAGAGAAGAAGAGTTTCATCTTATATCAATTCTTGGATTTGCATTTGTTGAATGATTTGTATTATTTTTTATGAATGGTTATAATTTTTGGGGTTTGTTAAATTCACTTCTAAAGTAAGAGCAACAAGGTTTGAATTACAAGTCTTATGTTTGTCCAAAAGAGACACTACTACACAAAAGCTAATACTCTTTCACAAAAGCTAATACTCTTTCTCATTCAAAAGTCGATTACAGGTTTGTTGTCTGATGAATAAGTCAAAAAATAGGGGACGTGCAAAGAGGTCTGCCATGCGACAAGAATTGCATAAAAGAAACGGGCGATGAGTGAATTAGAGGGTGCAAAGAGCAGCCCCTCAAACTTGGCCGGCTGAGAAACTAGGTAAAAGAGCTGCATTACCCGACTGTACCATGCCCAAGGACGCAGCTTGCACAATGCTGGATGCATAGAGGCCAGCCCCACACCTCAACCACGAAAGGCAGCACGAGGGGCTGGCAGGGACTCGGGACTCCCACGGCTCCTCGGCGCATCCAGGATTTCGGCGAGACCTTAGTGGAAAGGTCAGGCCTCGCCCCTATCGCTGTGCAGCAGCAGGTGCATCACCACCACTATGCAGCGCTGCTCCACCCCCGATCGGGTCCCAAGTCAGTAGATGCTCACAGTGTCGATGCAATTGAAAACCCAACCCCACTAGCCGCAGTAGGAAACGGAACCGGAACTGTGCGACAGGACGCACTCCTCTCGGGCTTCTCCCCCACCCACTCCACACGTCGTGAGGTCTCGGCGTGGGATTCGAGCTCTAGGTCTTCGTTGCCTGCCGTTCTACCCCTGTGGATGGGAGTGCTCCGCTGCTGGGTGCTACCGTGAGGTGCGTCTCGTCTTTGGCTGGGTTTGGGGACCCTCTCCTTTCCTGGGTTGCCTGGCGTCGTTGTCGTCGTCGTCGTTGTCGTATTACGATTGGACTGGGCTGGGATGATCAGAGGTCGTTTGTTTGTGGTGCGGAGATGAGTGTTCCGATGCGAGTGTGTTCTTTCCGTGGAGGGTTGTTGTGGGGTATTGTGTGAGATTCGGTTTAGATGTGTGGAAGAGTTTGGTTAGGGTTTGGGGTTCACTGATGTGGTGATGTAGAGGGAGGGGATGGTTACCGTTGTGGAGTGGACTGGTGAGACGATTGGTTAGAGGTTTAGGGACGACATGGAAAACGAGGAGCAGCAGGTAGGATTGGTGGTCCTGGGCTGGTTTTTGTGATCTTGGGGGTCGAGAGAAAGGTGTGTAATATGGTGAATTTGGGGTGTTGGTAGGTGGGGTAGTATTGTATGGACATGCCCGAATTTGTGGAGTGCGACGTGAATTTTTCGGTGTTCATGCGCTGGGGACGTAGGATCCGCGAAGTGAGTTTGCGTGACTAGTCTGATGGTTACCTGGAGTGATTTCTAAGTGTTTGTGTGTGGGAGTCGTGGTGAGATTGGTACCCCAAACCAAGTGGGATCCTGTGGGGGAGTATCTGTGGGTACTGAATTGCTTGGTGTCATGCAATATGGGAACTTCGGCGCGGTCGGAGTGTATACGGTGGGTCCCAACGTAGTGGTGGATGTGGGTGTGGAAGCCGAATTGGATCTGACGAATGGGTTTTGTTGGTGTGGGTTGAGATTAGGGTTTGCGGGTTGACAGTGAGAGCGGCAATTCGATGGTTTGAATCGTGAGACTTGGAGGATGGTGTAAGATGGGATCCGCATCAGTTGATCTCCCCTGCTTTTCGACGAGTATCGATAATTCGTTATCTGTTCCGTACGTTGGGTTGCGTTGCCGGTCGGGCCACGTTACGGTGAAGGGCGGGGGTATTCGGCATTCTTAAGTGCCCTGTTGATTGGTGCATGGTAAGCCGGCACACGACATCGCCGTGGTCAGAGTTTGTCGGGAAGTGTGTGCTGGGTCGTTGAGGATCTGAAGTCGTGGAGCTGGAGGCGTGGGGTGGGTAATATTGTGAGCGGAAGGTGCGAGGAGCTGGCGCGGAATCGTGGGGTGAAATCGTCGGTGGCGCAGCATTTCAAGACGGGTGGGTCGACGCAAGCCTGCCCCCGCCCTTAGACAGGAGGGGTGGCATTTTGGACTTCCATGGCCGGTCGGTGTGAAGAGGTGGATCTTGAAGCCCAGAGCAGTGACACATCGCCGTTGCTAATGGATCAACTACCCGGTAGTGGATCAACCACGCCTGCTGAACATGTGGTTACAATCCAACCTGTTACTTCCAGCGTTCCTACAAGCTCGTCACACGTTTCATTTTCGCCAGCGGAGGCGCAACAAGAAAGTCCAAGCTTGGGTATGTCGAGAAGTCTGTCGGCCAACTCATTCAGAGGGTTGCCGTCATTTGCGTCAACCACGTCCAATTCTTCTTTGAGATCAGGAAATACGAGTAGTCATAGCGCGCGACAGCGACCGAGTCCTTGAATTCGGGACTTTGGGTAAGCAATCAAACTTTACAATTCCGGATCCGTTGAAATTAGTTGCATCCGCTTCTCGAGGCTCGTTTCTGTCCAAGAACTGATATTTCCTCCAG